AAATATGTTCGTTCGTTAATTATTCCCCTCCATGAATGGCCTCCATGGCAAGCACTTCAAATGCCTTATCAAGCTACAGTTATAATTAAAACAAAATTAAACCACTGCAATATTATTTCGAATACAGTTTAGAATATACACAACTATAAATTAAGGCCGCATTTAGGTTCGCTGTAATCAACGGGTAATTCGGGTGCTTACCGATTAAATCAAATTGTTTCTTGTACTAAAAGCAATACGGCTATCCCATATCGATTAACCCGTAGAAATAAGCCGTAGGTTAACTATTAGTTAACTGTAGCAATTGCACTTTGCATATAAATACAACCCCAGTTGAGTATGATCTGCACAAAAAAGATAGATTTTGAAGAAAAGTGACACAGATTTTAGCCGATTGTCAATTTCCGGGAACGATAAATACCCCCTAAAATACTATTTCTTGACATCAACAAGTACCTTGCACAAAACGAGACATTCCGTGTCACAAGAAACAATAGTAAACTGTGCACGGTGGATTCCATACGCCTTATTTCTCATGCTCTAGGAATTGTATACGTGATCACGTGATACCAATGATGTAACACTGACCACGTTGTACTGTGCTAAACTATCAACCTGATAGGAGGTAGCTCACTGATCTAACGAGAACACTGTCGTTGGCTTTTGGGCTATTTTCATTATACGATTTTCGTGTTAGATAATGAATATTCATCATTGATCATTATGCAGATCTTGCGCCTAAAGCGCAACTGCTTTAATTTTGGTATGCAAATTTTATAAGTAGAATGTCCCCAATTCAGAACGATCAACGCTCACTCACATGCGTACAGCAATCCGCACTATAGAACAAGCGTTTGCGGATTTTTATAGCATATTTCATTTGAAAATAGGTGCATGGTCCATTTTCCAAATACGAACTTTATTTCAGCTCTGACTTTATATCCTAGAAGGGTACTCGTAGTCGGCTTTATCCTATACAAAATAAAAAAATACAATATTTTTTTTACTTTTGCGTAGCCTTTTCAAGCTAATTTCCAAGAACTTTGAAATCTGCGAATGTCTAGATTCTAGAAACGTAACACAAATACAAGTGTTTACAATAAATCTAACTTGAAAAAATATACAAACATTCATTGCACGAGCTTGTTTTAATCAATTATTTATTTCATTTTATGGATTCATAATACAAACCCAATAAGACTAGTCAGTGCGAGACTGAATGTTATATACACATAAATATCGACTATTTTATATATTAAGGATCGAAAGAGGGTGTTAAGTACGATTGCCGTTGACCTGTTTTGACATGATGAACTATGGTAATTCTTAACGTGCCACTTTGATACATGCATAAAATTCCAAAACAATCTTTTAGCACTAGTATGTAATACAATAACGAAATTGTATGGCGTGAGATGAAAGGATACTCGAAATTAAGTTATTTTAATGCATTAAAAAAAATTATAGTTTTAAAAAAATACATTGTAAACTAGAGTAGACTGGCTTGCACCATGCATGTGGTAAATGTAATCATAGTCACATAGCCCCAATTTTGCATAAATAAAACCAAACCTGTGTATACCGACAAGACAAGGGTCTTCATTAAAATGTACTTCATAAACAGATTGTCTTCACATGGAGGTTGAATTATTTTTTTCTCAATGAATCGTCAACACATTTGTCCAGAAATTGAGATGGTATTATTACAGGTGTAAAAAAAAAACATTTATTCGAGTTAATCAAACTCATATAGGTTGTAGACATTAAAACATTGTTTTATAAATAGAATAGAAGGATGGTCACATAAGACAGTTGGTCTTTACACACAGGTTGCTATTACCTTGTGCCTTGGGATTGTCTAAACGTAGCATATGAAAGTGTCTTTTATATGGCGTATGTCACTAATACAAACTTGATCTATAAGGAAATGATTTCTGTTATAAACCCAAATTTAGCAGAATAACTGTAATTGGCATATTTTTTATTCAATTAAACACCCAAAATATTTCACACAAATTCGGAGAAAAAAACATGTAAATTGATACTGAGTATGTGGAAGACGCCAAACATCTCCATTTTCAAAAAGCAAAACATTATTGTTATAGGTAAATACATATATCTTAACTGTAAAGTTATGTACCTTGCTTTGGAAGAATTATCTGCATATAAAATATTAGATTTATTTAACATATTCAGGTATAATAATTGACTTAAAACTTCACAAACGTCAATCAAATGAGATTCACAGAACACCGAATAAGTTTAATGTTTCCGTTTATCTGACGTCAATTCGGCAGTAAAAGAATCTGTTCAATACAACTATCCTCGCTAAGATTACAGAACACAAGATACCATGTCACGGAAATACAAAAAATATATAAACAAATAAGATAAATAGTTATGCTACAAAAATATATGTACGACTGAAGATTATAACTTTTGGCAAATAAACACTCCTTGCCATTGAATTTATAATAAAATACATCTTGAGTGATAAGATTTGTACTCTGTTTAGTTAATAGTTTCAGTCTTTTTTGATGTCATTCACCCATCATGTAAAATTAAATATCTAATAAATAATTTTTCAAATTAATATGTGGTTAATATTAAACAATAGAATGTCACTATTGCGCTTTGCATTGCCATTACCCTTTGAAGCCCGAAACAGATCATCCTCTCAGAACACAAATCAGCATGAATGTCGAGATTGTGGGAGAGCAAGAAGCATTGAAGGTAAGTTACCTTTATATATGTTTTTCTGAGGGATAAGAACCCCCATTAATTTTAAAACAAAATGTTTGGAAAGCAGGATATCTACTTTTATAATAATGTGTATACATTGTTCTGGGAGTGATGTGAGAATGCAACTTTAAGAACGGTCTCCAATTGGAAAATTATATAAATATATTTTCAACAATAATATTTGACCACAGTCAAAATGAGATGAGCATACACCCCACACAGAGTCTGAATACAAATGTAATACAAGTGCATTGCAGGATATGTACTATCAACCACCAATGACCATAATGTGGTAGTGAAATGGCAACGAGATTTCAGTTTACTCTCCATCAAGGACATCTTCATAACTTTCCACAATATCCTACACATTAGTATGTATAGATGTTTAATATGTATGCGTATTCAAGTTATCCTATAACTATCAAATTGATTATCTTGATATATATTGTTAATAGCGACAACAATTACTGTTCATAGTTGCAATCAATAGACTTTTTTCCTTTTAAGTGTACTTCAAGAAATATACTGATAGGAGACAATTAGGTTGGAAATGAGTGGAAATGGTAGAGGGGAAAGCACTGTCCCTGAAAAGCATGATTACACAATTAAAGGAAGAGGGGCGTCACCTGCGCTAGCGCCGGAATTGAGTCCCAAACGACCACACGCTATAAACGCAAAGGCTTATGGGTAAAGGCTTGTTTGTAAACAATGACACGCTATGGCCATCTGACGCATGCGCAGGTGACGACTCTCCCGCTTTAAGTATTTCATCAACGTATGTGTTTTTTTGATTTTCAGAGTCCTTGTCGTGTACAATCTGAATAAATATACTTTTTATTCTGGAATATATTAACTAAAAACAAACTTCCTTTCTTATATGCAAGACATCTGTAAAATGAACCATTTACTTATTCGATTTTAAAAAATAAACTAGCAAATGACAGTGTTTATAATGTGCCAATGATATTTCATTTATATCTCGACTTAAGCACCACCAATATATGTTCTAGTCAATTAGAATTTTGCATTTAGGCAGACATGGCCTTAAACACTTAGCACATTTTGTGACTCACAACAATACTGAGGGTTCACCTCTGTGATGAAATGCATAGGATAGATTTCAAATTCCTCTAAATGTTCTTAGATTAATAAATGCCAGTATAATCCCTGATGAGTAATAATAATTACGTACATACACTACCGGTATATTTAAGTAGTATCTTGAGACATGATCATTGTATATACATAAACAAAATAAACTTGGGATTACTGATTTATGCTAAACTATAATTATTATAATATAAATTCAATATTATATTTCATATGTGCCATATTTTCATTAACGCCATCAAGTACATGAATTTTCGAAATGTGAATCATCGAAATTTGCAAGGAAATAGTCAAAATATGCATTTTCCAATGGTTTCCATGATAAAATTAACTCCATATAAGATATTTCCAAATCCTGTTGTAACATGAGTAGAACAAGTTGTATTATAAATCATATGAATCATAATCTTGTTCAAACACTTTCGAGTTTCCAGTGTCATAATAGTTTTCCAATTAATATTTTTAAAATTTATTTCGGGTCAAAATGCCGTAATATAATAGAAATACATGTACAAGAATGTACTTATAATGGAGTTATAACTTTATAAAAATAACGACTAAGTTATATTATGGTATGGACTACGTGAATACACCTTTTTTTTTTTAGATCACGCACGTCTCAACTCTGAGATGTTCTATAATATACATTTTACTGGGTGCATTTAAGGCAATATCTAGACAGCAGCATTCAAAAGACCTAAACACTATAAGGTTTTAAATTCATTGGTCTGTGAAGAAAACAAGATTCCATTATTAAATTCTAATATTAAGTAGCTTTCTAAATTAAGTACATGGAGCTATTGGCGGTATAACATGCTCAAAATTTCAAAATGTATTTTTTTTTTTAGATTTGGGGGATGACAAACTACTAAAATCTGGTGTTTATGGTGGTGTTCCGAGTTTATTCAATCGATAAGTTTTTTTTTCCCAGAGCTGTACTTCTTATTTGGTTTAATATACGTATTCTTTAAGAATTATCATTGATATTATTTACCATAACATTTTTTTATATACATGTTGTCGATTGTTTTTTTTACTTTTCCCCGAGTCTGATAATACATTTTTTTTCGTAAATGTTACAGACTCTACTACTACTATTACACGATATGTCCAACAATGTAGTTATTACCTGTCAGCAATTCACACCACTAGATTGACAGTTCCGTTTCTGGAGGTGACTTGGTAAACATCTTAGTCTTACTAGAAGTTTTAAAACCCTTCATGCTTGATGGTGATTTTGACTTCACAAGATTAATTGGAGCTGAGCTAGCTGCAGATTCATCAGCTCCATCAGTAGAAACCTGTTTCACTATATTTTTACTGGATTTTTTTCTGTTAGGAATGTCAATACTTGTGGAATGACTGGCTGGTTTAATTGGGTTCTGTGATGGTGGCCAGTCAGGTAATGGTGGTGGTAGGTCACCAAGAATATTTGAATCTGAGTATGACCTGTTTAACGTTGGGCGTACATGCTCATACGACGATGAATCTCCATCGATATCAACATAGTTATGCCTTCTAAATTTCTTCCTTTTATCTCTATTGACTTGTATACCCTTTATGTCTATATCCAAATAACTGTGCATACACCGAAGATGCACTGTCCCAGGTGGGGGTGCTGGGAGTCTTCTATGTGGAAGCCAATCTGGTAGAGGCCTGTCAGCTATTGAAGAACATTCATGTCCAGGACTTAAGGAGAGTCTCTCAAAAAGATTATCACATGAGGCCGATCTTGCCAGCTTAAATGGAGGGCTAAAGAGTATAGGCGTTTTACTTTCTTCTTCTAACTCAAGGTATGGAGGAACTTTGCCAGTTCTTCTTAAGTTTAAGTTGGAGTATTCTTCAGGAGTATGAGGTGCCATGATTACACTATCATCCTGAGACTGTGCCCGATCTTTGAAATGAAACCTCTTTGGCAAACTCCTTGTGAAGGATGATGGAGAGTTCACAAAAGCTTCATTTTCATATGATTTAAAACTGTTACTGGGTTTTATTAACGGCGAATTCTCGTAGCTACTGAGGATAGAATGTTGTAATGTTGTGTTCTCGTAGGATGCTGCAGGTGAAGTCATATGTTCATACGGACTACCTGATGCCCGTTTCTTTTTAACAGAACCTGGGTTGGAAACCTTGCTGGCATTTTTTTTCACTGCTCCACCTGAGGGTTCAAGTTTAAAAGATGCATCTATTTGCTCCAACTGAATAGGCTTCTTTCCTGTCTCTCCATGGGGTGACATGCTGTCACTTGGAGACCTAAACTCCCCTGACATATTCCACCATGAATCCTCATCCTTAAAACTACTTAAGTTGGTCTGTGACATATCAATATAGGATCCTTTGTCGTCCTTCAGTCTGTGTAGTTCCGATTTTTGCATTGGATGAGCTCTGTGTTGATTCAGCTGAGCAGAATTTTCTAACGGTGACCTCATAATTTTTAAGCCATTTGTTGGTCGCTCAGGAAGAGCAGGAGTCGATTGCTCCACAAGATAGATGGATTCTGGCCTGTGAATGAAAGAAAACTTATAAGTTCTCTGATAAAAAAATAAAAACTACTTCATTGTATAAAAGATCCTGTCTCAGTGTCTTTGATGTCACTACTAAATATTTACTGGCCTCTCATCTTATGAATCCCAAGTTGCTGATTGTAGTGTGCATTATTTCATAGTATATATCACATTATGAGAAATCTCACCTATTGTAGACATGGTACCGAGCTTCTGACGATTCTATATAAAAAACATAATAAGAGATTTTTACAAGAAAACAGTTAAAATGATTGCTTTGTAGGACAACAGCTTGGAATCTCGAAAAAAAATTCACAGGATTCATGCTAGCCTGATAGATATATAAATATAAACAATGTTAAAATTACATCATGGAGTTATTATGCAGGAACAAATACTTTTTGCTGATATTTTGGGATGCTATGTCTTACTGCATTATGAGTACAAGTGGAAAATAATGTATAACAGCAAGAAAGCCTTCAGAAATGACAGATCCCCTGGTACATTTAATATAAGTACTAGTTCATAACAATTTAATGAGGTTCGATGACTATACTGGTAACACTGTGAACATCTATACGTGCAATAGTTGTCCTCATATGACTTTTTACAGACAGGCTCTAGTAACCACTAAACCCCTGCCAGCAACATACTGGGAGATAACAAGTTTTTCACAAAAATACTGCAATATATGCACTCAGAAAAATCGGGATCACACAAGACAGTAGATGTCCCGAACTAGAACATCTAATTTCAATTTCAATCCCTGAAGCAGTTTTAAAAACACCATGTATCCATTTTTATCAACAGATAATATCAAGAACTTCAGATTGACAGTCACAATGACAAAGTAACTTGACACTGCACTATGTGTCAGGTCAAATAGCTGGATAAAGCAATGGTAAGCAGCTCTCATAATTATTTATATACAGAATAGGTTGCCTGTGGCAGACCCATGATCAGTAGACGTAAGTTCTAATCAGAACCCGGGCTTGAACACCAAAAAGGTGTTCACTATGCACAATACCACAACATGGAGTCAAAGCATATTCACAAAGGAGAATTTGACATGTTGAAAAAATCTGCTAACACCAAGTTACCCTTGAATTGGTTTGACTGAGTTGGGTAGAGTAGCCAATTTGGCAAAATCTTAATATCACTTCGCATTGACTCCTAACAGAATGAAGGTTAAACCAACTGGTCAAGATTCCTTCACCTAATGGATGTACATGGTGAGGTCTGGTTGACGATATCACATCAAATTGCCCAAATGCAATTATGATAATGGATAGTCACATGGTCGATCACGTACATGTATATCAGTCTTTAACTTGGAATATTGTTTCTATGTCAAATTGCACATTGTATGGTATGGTATGATATAATAATAATGTGCAGGCATTTTGATAGCACTATATCCAGAAAACTGTTCATGGACACTATACATTATTACCCCTGTTCACTGGGCATAATAAACCAATCTGTAGACTACCCTCAACTTACTAGAAGCATACAGCCTGGGCTACTAAAGGCACATCAGAGCTAAATACATGCATAGCAATCACTACCATACCAGGTAACCATTTATTAACCACTACTGGGTGGAGAGAAGCACATGAATAAAGTGCCTTGCTCAAGGGACACAACATCATGTCCCGGTAATATTCAAACCAACAACCTTCTTAGTGTGAGTTAAAATTCATAGCCATATTGTAGCACGATGTCAAAGCTGGATAAATATGGTTATGTTTCAACATTATAGAGCATATTAAGCACTTTGTGAAGACAACAGAAACAATGTGAAAGCACACATTAACACAGAATTTCACAATATCATAAATCCAGGTAAAACTCCTGAAATACATTTAGCCTACAGTCTCACTAACATAATATAGGAAAATCAAAGAATGCTCAGACTATTAATGCTCCTGAAATTTGTGTTTCTGTCTTTATACTACAAGCATAATTTACCTGAACTGATTTGATGATGCAAAGCAGGTCTTGGTGCTGCTGCTGGTACGTCAATACATGCTGAAACTGACAACTGTTCAGAGACTAAAATGAAAGAACAAGTCAAGACCAATCTAGTGATTGTGCATGCATTTATAGTGTTGACATTTTTCTTATATTCTTCAATATTTCTGGAAATGAACCCTAATTTTGGAGCAAACTGACAAAATTTGAGTCAATTTTCACTCATCAAAAAAATTGTCCCAATCCCTGAACGACTATAAACAGGACTATTATGTGAATTTGTGAAGAAAAGATGGAACTGGTGGTGAACCGGTTTCCAAAATCACTTAATTTGAGGATTAGCCATTTTGCCACTAACAATGTAACATTTTTGGACTATATTTTTTTCTGTTTGTGAGCTCACAGCATAATGTTTTGCACATATCATCCACTGAATAAGCTGATGTGAAACACAACAAGTGAGTTCCTGGATACACACAACAACATTGTTTAAATTCTATGTGTTTTTTTAATATTTATTCCTGATCCCATTTAGTGTCAAATAATTTAGAAACAGAAAAAATTTCACTTTTGATGTATTTTTTACTTTCTTTGTCCTTTGCTTCATCAAAAAATCAATCATTACCTGCAGAATTTCCTTTGAAAAATCTGCAAAATAATTTGGGGGGAAGGGAGAGGGGAAGAGAATATTTTGGCCCAATGGTATTTTACCTGGAGTTGGTAACAAACCAAACGTGGCCAATCTCAAGCAATCGTATTCTTCTGCCACTTCATCAATTTCTTTTTTAGAATTCCTCCTGCTTTCTGTGATTGACTGCAAATAAAAAAAAAAAAAATTGATCTAGAATAACTGCAAGGAAAAGATGTATAATTATAAGGGTATCATGAGAATACTGCAAGGAATGCACATATGCACCATTACATCACCTCATATGATCCAACTATACTGTAAAGTTCAAATGCCATTAACCTTTCCACCACCAGACTATCTCACCAACATTTTTCTGCATTTGTTTTTCTTATATTCTTCAATATTTCTGGAACTGAACCCTAATTTTGGAGCTAACAGACAAAATTTGAGTTCATTTTCAGTTTTTACTCAAAACATTTGGCTATTTTTGTCCAATCTTCTGAAGGAAAGTGCTGACTATAAACTAAACTATTTTGTGAATTTGTGTTGAAAAGGTTAAGGAAATGAACATGCTGGGAATGACGTCATTTTCAACTAATCAATCAAATTTACTGTGACTGCATTCATTGACAATCAATTTTAAGCCTTTATTGTAGAAGTCTTGAAAATCACAATGATTCTAGCCTAACCATGCAGGTCGACGAAACTAGACCAAATTGCCATGATTGTTTGATTATGGGGTATTCATTATAAAACTTGCAAATAGAAGGAAAAAGGGTAAAAAATAAAAATACCCTTAAAAAATTGCAAAACAAATTACAAGAGAATTCATGTTAAACAAGTCATTGAAAATGACACAGTCCCCGTTAAATTTTTAAAAGTTCTTTTTGTGCTCGTCATATTGAAGCGGAGGGGTTGTCGTGAGCATGTCCTTTAAACTTGAGTTCCAAGTGGTGTATACAACAGATTGTGTTCCTTGTAGTAGTAATATGGCCAAAAATAAAAACAGCCGTCTTTGATCTGATTATGAAACACACTGATATGTATGTGCCAAATATGAATGAAAATGGTACATAAATTGTGTAAATATAGCAGTAAGGCCAAAAAGTCAGATGGCTGTCAATAGACCATTCTTGACCAGATTTTGAAACAAATTGTCATGGAAATGCATCTTAACATGTATAAAGTACATGTATGT